GATGGATTTTGCTATGGGTTTTCCTCGATCAAGGCAAGGGCATGATGCCATTTGGGTGATTGTGGATCGATTGACGAAGTCTGCACATTTTCTTCCAATCAGGCAGACGGATCCGGTGGATAAGTTGGCACAGGTATATGTGAAGGAGATTGTCAGATTACATGGTTTTCAAAGTGATTGTATCTGATCGAGATGGACGGTTTACTTCCAGACTTTGGAAGAGTATTCAGCAAAGATTGGGTACGAAGTTACATTTCAGTACGGCTTTTCATCCGTAGACTGACGAACAGTCTGAGAGAACTATCCAGGTACTCGAAGATCTTCTGAGATTATGTGTTTTGGATTTTAGAGGAAGCTGGGAAGATCATATTCCTTTGATCGAATTTGCTTATAATAATAGTTTTCAATCCAGTATTGGTATGTCACCTTATGAAGCTTTGTATGACCGGAAGTGCAGAACTCCTTTGACTCTAACTGAGGTAGGAGATAGACAAGAAATGGGTGCTACATTTGTGAATGAAACTGTTAAGAGAATCAATCTGATTAAAGAAAGATTGAAAGCTGCACAAGATTGACAACATAAGTATTACAATCAGAAGCACATGTTTGAAGAATTTCAAGTTGGTGACTTTGTATATGTCAAAGTCAGTCAAAGTCTGTCCGACGAAAGGAGTCAGCAGATTTGAAAGAGTGAGTAAGCTTAGTCCAAGGTATGTTGGACCGTTTGAAATTCTTGAAAGGATTGGTAAGTCTGCTTACAGACTGTTATTGTCTGATCAGATGTCTAATGTGCACAATGTTTTTCATGTATCTACTTTGAGAAAGTGGATATCTGATTTTGGAAAGAAATTGTCTACTAATGAAGTGGAGATTCAGGAGAATCTGAGGTATGAAGAAGAACCTGAGTTAATTTTGGCCTATGATGTACGCAAGTTAAGAAGTAAACAAATTCCTATGGTTAAAGTTCAGTGGAAGCACCGAACAGCACGAGAAGCGACGTGGGAGAAGGAGTCGGACATGAGGCAAGCATATCTGTATCTTTTCTGATTGAGTTTTGGTTTGACAATGTCGAGGATGACATTTTTCTGAAGTTGGGAAGATTGTAAAGACTAATTTGCTCCCAGGTTCGTTCGGACGAAGTTAGATCGTCCGGGACGATCGGTACAGGTTGTGCAGGAAGAACAGTTCTGGCTGTATGGTTTATCTGGACGAAAATAGGATCGTCTGGACGAAATTCTTACCGAGAGCAAGTCGTACGGGACGATAATTAATTTCGTCTGGACGAAATTTGTCCAGAGCCCAAGTCGTCCGTGACGATAATTAATTTCGTCTGGATGAAATTCGTCCAGAGCATAGATCGTCCAGGACGAAGTTGCGATCGTCCGGTACGATCAGTCTGGATATATATAGAAACGAGATATTTTGGAAAAGAAAATGACGTTCAGGAGAGAGAAAAATGAAGGAAAAGAAAGAAAAGAAGATTTTTGAGCGACTCCGATCTATTTTCGTCTGTTGTGGTAGTTAGAGAAGTTGACCGACTCGAGGTAAGGCACATTCCACCGTTCTCAATTTTCAGAAATGAGATTTTTGACGCATTTTTTGTTCCGGATTTTGTTTCCATTAGCAAATTTCTGGTATTATTTTCTTCTAACAAAGGTTTTACCGCGTAACTTTTGGTATGTCTCTGAGATGATAATTATACACGTTTTGAGTATTTTCTGGAAGATTTGTACCGGATATTTTGAATTCTGCGGTGTTTTAATTGAACTGCAAATTATCATGATGTTGAGAAATGTTTTGTCAGTACAATGAAAGTCTTATAATGTTATTGTGAATGTTCTGTGGTAATTTGGTAAATTCCTGTATCTGTGAATTTTGTGTAAATTTCGTATACTGCCGTTATGCCGCTGAATTTTTATACGATTTCTGAAATGAGATGATTTGAATGAATTGATTATTTGTATGATATCAGAAGGGTGTTATAAGGAGCCGGAATCCTTTGTGATTCCGTTGTCTGGGTCCGGGAAGGGAGACATAAGGGAAAGTTCTGAAATCTGAAATTCTGTATATCTATTCTGTTCTGGTGCTATAAGCACAAAAAGGGAGCTATAAAGGAAAGTTCTTGTGCTATAAGCACAAAAGGGAGCTATAAGGGGAAGTTCTGGTGCTATAAGCACAAAAGGGAGCCATAAGGGGATGAGGGGAAGTTTTGACATCTAGAAGGAAGTTCTGTTCTGAAATTATCTGTTCATTATTTTTGATGTATTTCTGTACAACTCTGATTATTCTGTACGACTCTGTCTACTCTGTGATTTGAAAGCTTTATGATATCTGTTCTGAACTCCGATTTGATATGACTTCAGTCTTTCGTATCCGATGTTTGATTTCTGATTGAGCTATTATCTGTTCTGTCTGTTATACAATTTTTGTACGATTGTTCGATTTCTATACTGATACTTTTCTGATGTGAGTTTCTGATGATTTTGATTGGTGATTGATGTCTTGCTGAGCTGTTAGCTCATCCTTATTTTCAGGTTCTAGGAAAGGGAATGAGGTCTTGGACTAGATGTTCTGAGTCTGATCTGTGATTAGGTACTTGATACTTTTGATTTTTGTACAGTCATGGCTTTTCTATTCTGCTCTGTTCTTTCTGTCTGAAGCCATGCACTGTATCTGTATATGAGTATTTTGATGAAAGAAAAGATAGATGAACTGCGCTGTGTTTGGATGTTTATAGTAGCTCTGTGTTTTTATGTCTGTGTTATATTTGGAAGAAAGTTCTGAAGCAAATTCCAAAGCCAGATCCTGGATTTGTTGGCTCTGTCGCGGCCCGATAAGAGCGGGATCCGTCCCGATCGGGTTGGGTCGTGACAAACAAAATCTCAAAAGATTCTGACCCCTTATAACTCCCTTCTGATATCATTCAAACACATCAAATCATCAAATTCAGAAAAATCGGATTATATTAGAAAAATCGTCATCGGCATAACGGCAGTCCACAGAAATTTCAACAGATCAAATCACAGTTTCAAAAAATAACCAAATTACCACGGATAGTGTAAAACATATTTTTAAGACTTTCATTGTACTGAAACAATATTTTTCAACATCTACATAATTTTCTATTCGATAAAAACTCCGCAGAATTCAAACTATCCTGTGAAAACTTTTCAGAAAATACTCAAAACGTGCAAAAACATTATCTCTACAACATACCAAAAGTTACGTGGTAAAAGTTTCATTGATACAAATATGAATCACTTTTAGACTAAAGGAAATGAAAATCGAAACAAGAAATCAGTCAAAAATCACATTTCTGAAAATTGAGAAAGGCATAATGTGCCTTACCTCGAGTCGATCAACGTTTGTAACTACGGCAACGGACGAAAACATACCGAAGTCGCCAAAAAATGCGAATTTCCCCTTCTTGCCTTCGTTTTCTCTCTCCTCCTATTTCTCTCTCTTAAAAAATATCTTAAATCGTCCATTTAATGAACTCGTTCGTCCAGACGATGTTTCCCATTCGTCCCGGGACGAAACTCTCTGGATACAGATCGTACAGACGATGATAGATTTTGTCCCTGGACGATGCTCTCGGGCAAAAATTTATCCCGGACGAACCTGCACTTTACTCAGTTCGTACATGCAGTTAGAACGTACTAGCCATACAGATTTTCACAATTTTCTTCAGTTTGTCCCGTACTAAGGTCAGTTCGTACAGACTAACTGCACTCAAAAAATAAATTCTGAGGGGTTTTACACATTACTAGTAAGAAAAACATGTATGCAAGCAGTCTACCACATATAATTAGAAGGGTTTTAATTTAAAATATCCCTCCGACAATTAAACAAAGCATATCCAGAAGTGTTAGTTAAGTTATCATACACGTCGATTTTGAATACCATAGATGTACAAAATTATAGAGCTATAACTTGACTAGAGATGGCTGCAATATAGCCTAGTTGAAGATGGTTATGGTGTAAGTCTTGCTAGAGGCAATTACAAAGCAAGTGAAGATGACTATTGCTTAAGAGCAGTTATGATGTAAATATTAATGTGAAGATGACTATAGACCAATAAAAATTTTGATGGCAAATCAGTTGTGAAGATTGAAGTTTCATTAGTCGTCTTCTTAAGATTTGCCATCAACATAAATAAATAAATATATATATGAAATATATATATGCATTATAATTGTATAAAAAGAGAAAATAAATAATTTAGAGTTTATGTCAAACCGGCTCGAAATCAAATCAATTAGAGCTATTTATTATTATACTGATCTTGAATCGATTTATATAAAATTGAGCCGATTTCATGTCATTACTGAGTCAACTCAAGGTCGGCTCTTTCTGGAGAAATTATTCTATGCAGTCATCAGACACTGTTCAGAGATGAATCAGAATGCACCATGTCATTATTTTGATGTGTACCGGATGACATGACATATCTTGATTCACCTCCGAATGAGATGACCACATATAATAATTTCTCCTCATGTTGACCCTGGCCAAACATATTCTAGGACAAACCTGATTTAAGACTTATCGCATTTGATTTACTTCATTCTCGCACTAAGCGGCCAGATTATTGTGTGCGGAATCCGAATGCATTCTGATTCCATTCCGCATATGCCACGTCACCGGATACACTCCGGAACTTAGTGCATTTAATGACGTGGCGCATCCGAATTCTGTCTCCGAATGCATTCGGATTTCGAACACAATAATTTCTACACTAAGCGACCTGCAACTAGATCCGTGGGCCCATACTGTGTAACCATAGCGGGACCAAAGCCGACCGGACGGTTCGAACCGTTCCGTATGAGCGAGTTTCTCACATCTAGATGCCAACGTTTCCTTTTATATGCCGCTCGATTGTTTCCTAAACCCATCCTCACCGTCCACATTTGATGGCCCGGTTCAATATCCTGACAATAAAAGCCCTCCCGGTCGGACCATAAAGATTGTAGAGAGCGCATAAATATCTTCGCTCCATCAAAATGCCACCCTTAGAAATCTGCTTGTCCCTGCTAAACCCTCTCAGCTTCTCGTTTGGCAAAACCCTAGCCGTTTTTTAGGGTTTATCCTCTCTCTGTAATTTGTCTTCAGGTTGCGTCAAGATGAACTTTTTATTCCGGAGGTCGGCGTCCATTGCCAAGTCGACGGCTTCAAGTCAGGCTATTGTTGCTATCCTTTACTCCGCACTTCCGCGGTTTGCTGCCGCGATCCCGTTGGAGTCGTCTTCTACGTCTTTGGCTTGTTTAGTTCGAGGACTACATGGTTCATCTGTAGAGGCGGGGAGTCCGTCGATCGGAGGCCTAGGGCGGAGGGAGTTCCATTTCTCTGCGTTGCCGCTCAATTTTAGAGCGAGTGAGATTAATCGGGCAGAGTTCGCCGTCGATGACTACTATGACGAAGGGAAGAGAGGCGATGACGGGCTTGAGATTGCCAAGCTTGGAATCTCGCAGGATATTGTCTCGGCGCTTGCCAGGAAGAGTATCACCAGGCTGTTTCCTATTCAGGTATTGATGCTCTGATTAGAAATTGATACATAACTTTTCTTTATTCTTATTTTGTGTTTTTCAAGAACTGTTTTTTGACTGATTGTAAGGTGGAAATCGGGTAAATTGACGGGATTATGCTTATGTTGAATTTTACGTTAATAGCGTATTTCAGCGTTGATGTAGGTTTATTCAAGTTGTTAAATTGTAAAATTTTGTGGAGATATAGTTGATCTCTTAGTTAACTGGGTTGATTAACATTTCAAAGGGGTGCTACGAAGGTAGGAAGTTTGCTTAATCATGTTGTATTTCCATTTTATTTAGCTGAAAATTAGTTTTATATTTTTGAAAAATTTTGGTGTAATCTGTTAAGCAAAATTGAAAGTTGGCATGAAGAAGAATTTCCTTATCATAGAGGAAAAATACATTGGAATTAAGTGAGAATTCTCTCACCGAAAACTGAGCCCCACCTATAAAATCTGGGGAATCACTTACCCAAGAAGACTTACTCACCCATTGCCTTGTGGAACCAATTAGAAAAGATGAATCTCTCACTCTCTCATTCTTAAACTGATACTAATTGGTGTAGTGGATCGGTAAAAGAAGGGAGATGCGAAACAAAACCAGAGAACAATAATAAACTCAAAGCAATATCATCTATATCCTCTATCATAAATTATGAGCCAATATATAATCTCAACAAGGATAGAAATGCCCTTTTGCAAGAAAAAAGGGCCAAACAACCTAAAAAGGTTGAAACATGTAGTCCTAATAACAGAAAGATACAACTAGGATTGTGGAAATCAATGAAATCAAACATAAATTATAAGGTAATAAATGGTATACTAGTCCCTAAGCATTTTATAATTAAGATGCTACGCATTATATTTCTCCTGCGTCATAAGAGCTCAACTTCGTCGAGATGGTAGCGCGTCATCGGGAGTGAGGTAGGTGTAGACTGTAGAAGTCATAAGCATCCCTCCTAGGTCGAAGATTTTGCAAAGAATATTTGATTTCAATTAAAATATTTGGTTTCCCCATACCACTGAAGACTTTAAAAGCTTCATCAGGATTTCCACATCTAGAATACATTGTGACAAGAGCAGAGCAAATAATAAGATTAGAATCAAACCCATTCCTAATTGCATAAGCATTGATTGATTGGCCCTTTCTCAAAGAAAACAAGAAACTGCAAGTAGGCGATAATAAAATAAGTGTAATCTCATGGGGTCTAATAAAGTACTCAAATTACATCCTAGAAGACAATGTTGCTGATTCAATGAAGTGCTTTGCAGAGGAACTAGCTCGTATCATTGAGGACAACTATACAACATCACAATCAAACATTATACCAGGCACCTTCCGTGCATTACAAGCATCTCCAAATGACCCGTAGCATGAATAAGTGCATTCCCATTAGATAGAAAGGAACCAAACCCACACTTAATTATCAGTGAATGTGAATTAGTACTCAACATTCCTAAACTCAAATCAGTATATGCCCTCAACAATGCCAAAAAGATATAAGAACTCAGTTCCAATCCATACTCAAGCATTTCACAAAACAGCTTAATCGCTTGGTGGGGTGTCTCATTCCCAACATACTGGTAATCATGGCAGTCCATGCAAAAGTATCCAAATTCCTTTTGGGGGTGCTATTAAACACCTCTTGCACATCATCAACCCGACTACGCACACAATAGAATTTCAGTAGGTTAAGGAGACTGTATTCCTTTCTAACCCAGCTTCCCGAATATTTACATGCAGCTCCCTCCCCTGTTTCAGTGATCGATGATTGATTCAAGATTGAAGAAGAACACCAAACTCTAAAGAATTAGCCATCTAAAACCTGCTTTGAAAAACCTTAGCTGAACTAGAGTTCGTGTGAAGCCCAGAAGCGAAGCATGCATTTCGGGTTTGATCGGCTATCATGGATAATTTAAAGAAGAGGTGGGTATTACTGGGACAACTAAGATCAACGTGGCACTATTTAAACTGGCCTAGGATGGTGATGTCTACAAAACCACTGACGCCAGTGTTGTCGCTGCTGTGGAGATTGTGGCTATGGTGGCCTTTTGAGCTCTTGGAGCTCGAACTAGATTATAAGGGAGGACGATTCGACATCTTTCTGAGTTCTCGGTGGTGGCTGAGATACGACAACAAACCAACCTCTTCGCCACTTTTTTTCTCCACCGTTTCATCTATACTTTCTTCCTTCTCCACAGTGGCATTAGAAACTGTTCTTACCGTCGGTATAGTTGCCAATGCAGCTACATGGTGCACAAGATGAGCTCATGGTTTGAGAGCATGTAATTCCCGGTGCATTTTTACTAAGAAACATATGAAATCAGAAGTTAAATGATATGTTGCCGGCCTATGAGGGGCCGGATGGACCGGTCCAATCTGGACAGGTCCATGTCTACACGCGGCGGGCCCCACAGGGGCGGCGGAAAAGAGAGAGAGAAGGGGGGGCGGAAGCCCTAGGTGGGCCATGCTTGGTTTAATTTAACTTAGGAGGGAAAATTTGAATGAGGCAAGCTGTTTTAGGAAGTTTGTAATTGTCCTTTGATGTTAATTAGGAGCTTAGGAGGTAATTGGGATCTCATCTTGAATTGCAAATCTGAATTGGAGATCTCATCGTGTGCTTGGGCTCTAGGGTTTGCTAGAGACTTTTGGATAGTTGTTCTTCCTCTCGAATCGAAGAACATTGTATATTTTATCGTTTTCTTGCATCTACTAGTGAACTGCTTTGTTTTTCTCCAAATTTCTCGCTGTTCCTATTCAAAATGTGTTGTGTTTGGTCTTATTTACTGCTGTAAACAGCAGATTTCTCTCTGTTTTAGTGCTAATTTCGAGTAGGTTTGCTTGCGAACTCAAGTATTCCCTTAGGATTACTTGCGAACTCAAGTATTTCCTATCATTAAATCTTCTAATCACTCTAATGATACATTCACTCACAAGGCTTCATGGCTTCGATCGTTGTCATCAGCCCATCTTTTCTGATAAGATAAGAAATGTTATATGAGTCTCTAATCATATTATAATTAAGATGCTTCGCCTCAGCTCTCTTCCAAAATCATTTTATATTCATGTTTTTAGTAGCCTAAAAAAATGAACTCATAGCTAATTAAAATTAAAAAAAGTTGAAGGAAGGGGGTGGTTGATGGTTGTAAAGTACAATTGATTGAGGTGGATTGTGTGCAGCATGTGTTGGTTAATAATACAATAGCCATTCAATGAATTCTATAACATCCGGGGAATCACTTACTCAAGAGGACTTGCTCTCCCATTGCCTGGTGGAACCATTTAGATAAGATGAATCTCTAACTCTCTCATCCTTAAGATCTCTTCCAAAATCATTTTATATTCATGTTTTTAATAGCCTAAAAAATAAACTCTTAGCTAATTAAACAAATATGCTTGAAGAGGGTGGTTGGTGGTTGGAAAGTACAATTGATTGAGGTGGATTATGAGCAGTGGCGGAGCCAGAAAATATATTTAAGGGGGGCCTAAATTTTTTTTTCCTCCAAATTTTTACATCCGGATTTGGGATCAAAATAGTCAGTTTTAAAAATGATAAAACTTTGATAGTGAATTAGTATATTTTTTTTCTTCACAAAATGACTTTCAATCATTAAATCACTTGATTACTGCTAGAACGAGTTCAATATATTAACTAAATACATGATATTAAAAATCTCATTGCACAAAAATAAATAATAAAATCTCTTTAAGATCGAATCAATACAGGATTAAGCTAATATCAACCTAGAAAAAAAAATGTAAATGAATAGGAAATTAAATTGGGAGTGATTTGAATGGACGGCCGATCTTAAAACTCTTGATCGTGGACCATTTATTGGACATTTAAATGTCATAGTGATATCAGAATTCAGCGATCTTGGGCTCGTTGGATTCGTCCCGTCTAGTCGCTCAATTCGACTATAAGCATGACATGTTTGGAAACCTTTTGATAATCCAAATTATGGTTTAAACCTTCTAAATATGCTTTGAGTCTTTGATTTGGAGTTATTTGGGTTCAGATTGAGTCGAATTTGGTGGCGTTGTGTTCGCATTTTCGAGACGTTCAGTTCGATTGTAAGTTTGCTGAAATCGGAGTTCATATGGTCTCTGATTTAATTTTTGAAGTTTCCAACTTGATTTTATCTCTATATTCCCTATATATAAATTTTTTCAATTTTTTTAGGGGGGGGCACGTGCCCCCCCTTGCCCCCCCTTGGCTCCGCCAATGATTATGAGCAGTATGTGTTGGTTGATAATGCAATAGCTATTCAATGTTTCATCATTTCCCTCTTCATTGCAGAAAATTTAGTATTGAATTTGATTTTTGGCAAAGTTACTACATCATGGATGATCAATGTTTATAGAAATGCTTGAGTTGATATATGAAGAAATATGTTTGATACAAATGTGATGCAACTCAAAGAAAATGGAGTAAAATTGAAAGTATTTAGAGCAAATACATTTATTATTATTGTTGCATGCTAGAAGTTTATAGTTTGTTTACTAGTCATTTCTTGAGCTATTAGGAGCTATAAATGCTATCTCCACTTAAATAGATTATATACTTTCCACAAAAAAACATTGAGGGTAGAGTAAACATTAAGATTTAAATCAAGGTTAAAAATTGCACAATTGGGCATTGAGGCATTTTCGTTCATGAGGCGAGGCACCATCCTCAAGGTGATTTGAGGCATAAACCATAAAATTAAAAAAATGCATATAATGAAAATAAATATTAAAAGTGATTTTTATATAATACTAAAATAATATGTTAAAAGATGACATATTAACTTTCTATTGAACTATGAAGTTACAAATTGACATATATATGAAGCCAAAATTTGCATAAGATGTAAAGTGACAAGTAATAAGTTGCATGAAATAAAATTGAAATTCAAATATTACAAGTACAAAACACACACACACACACACACACACACACACACACATATATATATATATATATATGAATTACATAAAAAGATCATATAACATCAAGCTCAACTCAAAATTCCTTCTTTCTCAGTTGTCTACTCATCCACATTTAATTCCTAAAGAAAACTGAAATAGTTGATAACAACTCATAAATCATTTACATTGTCATCATTGAGGGGGTATTTATTTGAGTCATCGTTATATTAAATTGGACTCTTCCCTATCTCATCATGTAGAGTCCTATACCTCATAATATGCTTCCTTTTTAGTTATTTCAATTATCTTTTACTTTCATAAATGTTTGTGATCAACATAAAGATGAGAGTAATTCTCTAAAATTTTTAGAAGAGGAGGCGGTGGTGGTGTCTGGCTTCCAAGTGATCACTGGCGGTGGTGGAGGCGGCGGGCTGGAGGTCAATGCAGTCGAGAGGAAGCTATTGTGGCTCCGGGTGCATGAAGAAGTGATTTGTTCGAGGCTTTAGTTTAGGGTTTATGTAAGTTTTAATAAAAAATATGTAAATAGGGTGAGGCGTATGCTTTACGCTAGCAGCACGAGGCATGCTGATATGAAACACTTGAAGATCTCAAGTAAAACCTATCAATATGAGAAAACAACGAGAAATATCCACCAAACTCAGAGGAAAAACCAAAAAAATAGTAGTTTTATTACAATACTCAAATATAACAGAAGGAAAAATACTAAGATACAATTGATCCTCAATTCAAGAGGAGGATCTATCTCTCCCAATCCCTAGACACCGAACACCAGGAACACAAAAATAGCCACAATTTTTTGATGACCCTAACCCTAATATTTTCTTCCTACTTAAAGCATACAATTAAACCACCTAAGTCAATCCTCCACAGCCCTAGCCACCCCGCCTTTCCTAATGGGATTCCCTAGTGGTCCCCAAAACTGTTTGGGCGGCAATTCCTAAGGGGCGAACCTGCTTGGTCCGCCTCATGTACACATGGGCCAGCCCCTTGCCTATGGCCGGCTGGATCGGTCTAGCATGTACCGGTCTAACACGTGCCTCAAGGTGTGCCTCAGCCAAACTTTGGCGCTCGCGTCATAAAAAAGCTCAAGGCATAAGTCTTGAGGTGTTTTTTACTAGAATTGTGCTGAGGCCAACCTTAAGGTGAGTCTCATATTGCGTAATTTTAAATAATGATTTAAATCAATAATTTTTCCAAGATAATTATAAAATTTAAAATATGCATTTTTTTAGGATAAATAGAAATAATGCTTTTGCTTTAGAATAAAATAACATATTCTCTAACAAAGGTATTAACATAGGGCTAGCCCATGTGTGTGCAATCTCGTTCATGTGCAAATAAGGATTTGATTGTGATAGGTTTGATGAGTGAATATTGTATTGAGCGTGCATTGGTTTTGTGTTGGTAAGAAATAAGAGGAATAATTGGCAGCCACTTTTCTTTTCTTTTGAGAAAATAGAGAGAAATGAAATCAAGGAATGCGAGAAAGAGGGAAAAGAAGAGAACAAGGATTATTTATTTAATCATGGATTACTATCTGGGCGCTGTGAAATTTTAGTCATGCCAAAAATTTTGCAATAATTTCGTAGACATGTAAGGTGCAAATTTGAGGAATTTTCATGTGGGTGCTTTTAGGTATTATTCAAAGGGTGTTTCAAGATCTTAAAGACCAACTTGATGTTCTCAATAATGTGTTATAATTAAAATATCAGGCTTCGAACTTTATGCACCCATGCTTAAGAGGGTTTATTGTTTTGAATCTTCACCTCAACTAAGATTGTCACTAGCTAGTTAATTCAATTGGGTAGCTTCATCAGGATCTAATGAAGATGCTCACATTAGTTTCTTAGCTTGATGTAACTTGGGACTCAGCATCAATCACCATCTTCTTTTTTCAATATGGCTTCTTAGGGAGACTGTTTGCTAGCTTGGGATGGCCTCTAAGGTTAACTGCACTAGGTTTGTAATCTCATGTAGTTTGTATTTGAATGTTTATATAGGGTGATGTCTAAGGATTGGTGCTAATTTTTTAGATGGGTCCCAAGAAAGCTCATGAAGCCATGGGTGTGATCAGGAGTATTCAGAACTAATCAATCATCTCAATTACCATCTCTTTCTTTACTTCATGGGAATTACCTTGGTTGGAGAATTTGATGTTGATGAGGTCATGGATCCTTAGCGTGGGCACACTCTAAGTTTCAAGAACTATTAATCTTAGGTACTTTAGGGTTTTGATGAGCCTTGAAGGCTTCTAAGAGTCATACGGGTGATCGTAGGTGATGGATTAAATTTATGAGGGTCCTAGGCCCTTGATTACAATGATTGGGCCAATGTTAGGCTAACCATGGGACTTGGGCCAATTAGTCAGACTAAGCTATCCATCTACAAGTCTGTCTACAAGTTTGGTTGGGTCCTAAGGTGACCAATGGTTTAACTAAATATGTATTAGTTGTGGTAGTTTGAACCAATTAGGTCAGTTGGGTAAAAGGGTTGGCATTGGGTCATACCAACCTAGATTGGGTTAAGCTACTCATTTAGGCTTTGCGTTAGATTTGAAGGAAAGTCTAGATTAAGTTAATTGGGCAAGCTATGGCCTGATAAGTCAATTGAACCAAGGTTCTTCCATAGGTTTAGTTAGGTCTAGATTCGGTTAGGTTTAATGTTTGAGTTGGGTCAATTAGGCTTGTTTAACCATTTAGAGGTCAATTTAGGTCTTAGGAAGGCTTAGAGTCTAGTCAATTAGGATTTGGTTGGGCTAATGTATTTAGTAAATTAGGTCTATGCGTGGATTGGGTAGCTTAGATTGGATTAAACTAGTCAATTACATACCCATTTGTCCTCAGGAGGGTTTAAGTGAAACTAATTAGGGTTAGTTAGGGTCTACTTTGGCCAATTAGGTTTGGAGTCTACCTAGGTCCATTATAGTTCATTTGGGCTTGCATTGGGTTAGGACAACCTTGTGGGCTAGGGCTAGGATAGTCTAATAGGGTTTATTGTGACAACTAAGGTTTAGGGTCAATTTATCTTAGGCTTGGTTTGGGACGACTTTCTTACTGCTCTCTAAAACGGAGTTTTAGTTCAAAATTTTTTATTTTTGTATTAAAACTCCGTTTTAGAAAGCAATAAAAAAGTCGTCCCAAACGAAGCCTTAGTTCCTAACAGGCTCAATTGCCCCTCTTAAATCTTTTCCTTTCCATTGTTGGAAACCGTTTTCTGTGGGGAGGTTTCGATGACCCTTTGGTTGATTTACTACTGCCTTCGTCTTCACCTTCACGACTTCACCTCCTAGTCTGCCTATCTGTCAGTAATAACACTTCATATAAGAGGGAGGAGCAATATTGCCTTTAAAATGCATTCAACCTTTTAAAAAACCACGTGCAATCTTACATGTCCTTTTAGCATGAGGGTTGACATTGATGACTAGAAATCAAGTTGTAGACACCAGACAACAATGAAATCCCAAAATTAGATTGGGACCTGTGTAGGGTTTTAAAAATATTGACTTTTGCATTGCATTGTTTAAAGCTTATTAGGTATGTAGTTGATATTTACAATAATATTTTTTATGTTGGAATAAAGTTTGTTGAAAGTAATCTTTTAATTTTATGATAAAATTTGGTTTCATTGTTTTTTAGAGAATTGTTAATTTAAGATAACTTGAAATAAAAATTTATACTTGATTTAGAGGGGAGGCCAAACGATGATCTTTAAAGGTATGGGCATAGGGCATGTATTAGTGGTTTGGAATTCTATTATGAGAGAGTTTGTGAATGACTTTGTATGTTGAGATAAAATAAGGTGAGAAATTGGCAGAAAATAGAGGTAAAGTAGTGAGTGGTAGAGAAAAAAGAGAAAATAGTTTTTAAATCTTTTTTGCTTATTATTGTGCATGTGTCACTTTTGTTTGATTTGAGTGATTGAATTTTTTTTTTTTGGCGAGATTGTGTGTTTTTTAATTTGACGAATACAGTTTTCATGCGCCCTTTTTATCTGCATACATAAATCTTGGCTTCTTCTTGCATGCTTGATCTTTTTTGTTATTTTTTTTTTGTGTGCATTGTATTTATTTATTGTAGGAACTTCTGTAAAATCAAGTGTTTTTCCTGGTGATTAACCTTTTAGTTCATTTAGGGAATATTTAATTACTCTTAGTTACAAAATTCTGGATTTTAGGCTTTTGTTCTTGTATTATTTGTAGCCGTTTTTCTATTCCATATTATACTTACAAATACCTTCCCTCTAATTTTTCTTTTCAAGTATTCTTACACCAACAAAGATGCAACTTTATATTGTTCCTGTGCTGACTGTTGATTCTAATTTGTGCTCTTAGAAAGCAGTTCTTGAACCAGCAATGCAAGGACGTGACATGATTGGTAGAGCTAAAACTGGAACGGGCAAAACTCTTGCTTTTGGGATTCCTATCATGGACAACATTATTCGCTACAATGCTAAGCATGGGTTAGTGTCTCATGCTACGTTTGGGACGGCTTTCTTTTTGCTTCTTAAAGTACCTTTCTAGTACAAAATTAAAAAACTTTGTATTAAAAAGTTTCTTTAAGAAGCAGCAAAAAAGCCGTCCCAAACAAAGCCTTAGTGTTTTCACTTGATTAATATGTTTGATGACTTGTAAACATGGTTTCTGTTCATGATTTTTGGCATCATGCATTTAGCATGTAAGTTTCTAGGTTTCTTTCTCGTTTTTTGTTACAGGCGTGGAAGAAATCCTTTAGCCTTGGTTCTGGCACCAACACGAGAACTTGCTCGACAAGTGGACAAGGAATTCAGGGAATCATCCCAGTTGGACACACTGTGTGTATATGGAGGTGTCCCTATTCAACAGCAAATGAGAACCTTGAGTTATGGCATAGATGTTATAGTTGGCACTCCTGGCAGAGTTATTGATTTACTTAAGCGAGGCGCCCTAAATTTGTCTGAGGTGCAATTTGTTGTTCTTGATGAGGCTGACCAGATGCTTGCCGTTGGTTTTGCTGAAGATGTAGAAGTGATTTTGGATAAGTTGCCACAAAAACGCCAAAGTATGATGTTCTCGGCTACTATGCCAAGTTGGATAAGAAAAGTTTCCCAGAAGTACCTTAATAATCCTGTTACAATCGATCTCGTGAGTATCAATAATAGTCTCTAGCTTATCATTTGATTTTTTCGTGAAATCTTTCTCATCATTCTTCCAAGTAAATGTGCTTTACATCTTCTCGTTTATCTGATATATTCATGCATTTCCACTTGCTTTGGAATCTGGGTAGCCTTAGCTTGTGCTCCTTTGAGAATTTCTTTGTTTTTAATTTTTATCTTTTGTTCATTTTCAGCTTTACTCAATTCTAATTTTGAAAATGGTTTTCTTTTTTTTTTTGTTATTTTTTATTTTTGTATGCAAAGCATTTTGATTCATTTGATTATTAATGGGAGCTAATGATTCTGGCTTCCTTCACAGGTTGGTGATTCAGACCAGAAGTTAGCTGAAGGAATTAGTCTTTTTTCAATTGCATCAGATAATTATGGAAAACCATCAATTCTTGGGCCACTGGTCAAGGCAAGTTTGTTGGATAAATTTTGATTCCGTTATTTACCATCTTAGCTTTACAGTAAGTGGCCGTTGCTCTTCTATAGGAACATGCCAAAGGAGGAAAATGCATAGTTTTCACCCAAACTAAAAGGGATGCTGATCGTTTGGCTTATGCTATGAGCAAGAGTTTTCCTTGTGAGGCCTTGCATGGTGATATTTCCCAAAACCAGAGAGAGAGGACACTTGCCAGCTTCAGGGATGGTCGGTTTAGCATTTTGATTGCTACAGATGTTGCTGCTCGTGGACTGGATATTCCTAATGTTGACTTGGTGTGTGGCTGAACTTTTCTTTTATTAGCTCTTCTAATTTTTCACCTGTACAAAATGCTGAGTTCAATTTCTTTTTGAGAGCATATAATTCTTGTTGTGTCAAATGTTTTTTTTGCTCATCTATTTTCTAGTTTTAACTATCTATTTTTCTCATGGTTACATGTTCTTTATTTATATTTAATAAAAAAGGTCTGCCGCTTGGTTAGGATGGTTTTTATTTTTGTTTTTAAAAAATAGTTTAACGGAAGTTGTTTTTATTTTTTTGTTTTTGAAAACAAATTGAACTATTTAAAAATTTTAGAAAACACGTCTTACGTGTTCTGTAAGTTTTCAAATCAAATTTATGGATTTAAAATACCGTAGGCTTTGAACTTGGGCTAAATGAGAAAGGCAACTCCTGGCCATTAAGGGGTTGTTTGGTTTCCTGAAAAAGGAGTGCAGTGTAAAAGGAATACTTTAGAATTGTTTGGTTGAAATTATTATTTTTTGTTTGGTTTGAAGTAAAATGAATGCAATGTATAGTGCAAAAAGGGTAGTGGTCAGTGGCAGACATTCGCAGTGATGTGGACGGCGGTGGATGGCAGCGTAGGCCGGTGTGTGGTAGTCTGCTGGTGGCTGTGGTGGCCAGTGGCGTGTGGCTGATGGTGGTGGGGGGAGGTGTTCGACGACGTTGGTCAGAGGTGGGCTACGGCGGTCGGCCAGAGGCAATGGTGGCTGCGGTGAGCAGTTAGCAGCGGCGGCGGTTGACCAGCGGCTTTGGTGGTCGGCAGAGATGAGTGGTGGCGGCAGACAGTGGCAATTGTAATAAATTTATGGTGTATTTGGAACTCGCCCAAATATGAGGAATTCCAAATACACAAAAAATGAATTAGAGGGTGAATTCCAAATGCACTAAAATTTTACATTGCATTTGTTTTATTTCAAACTAAACACCCAACTTTTTAAAACCTTTGCATTTAGAATATTTTACAACCCTTTTGTAGACAACCAAACAACCCCTAAGCCAAATAACAAGTTATAATATGTGGATGCGATAAATTTATATGAATTAAGTGAAAATAAGGAATGTTTTTTTTAAGAATGTGATCATTATACAGGGTTTGATAAAAAAATTAAATATTAGTCATGCACTGATTAATTTTAACAATAAAATATTAAAAATATAAAATACATAATTGTATCAGATTTATGATTACAAATAATTGAAATATATATATATATATATATATATATAAAATTGTACAAAATTTTATAATATTTTGGTTTTAAATTTTAATAATAAATTAATAACGGAAGTTGGTACCTAACTTCTTACTTCTTTATGTTAAATTGCATCTGTTTTAACATGATTATATTTTTCGTAGTTTTTGAAAACATTACTGCATTGTTGAAATCAAATCTTGTGCAATTCAAATGGGGGCTTTTCTGATACTCCCTCCCTGGTCTCTTTATTTGGTTTTTCTTTCTGCTTACGTAGAAATTTAAAGTTCTTATTTTTGTGATTGCATCATATTTGTCTGTTAGATGTAGAAAATTAGCACTTAATGAATTTAATGATTGTAAATGTCGTATTTTTCATGATTTGTGAGAACAACTACAATATAATGAAAATTTCTTTCCTTCATTATGCTTAAGTGCGGGTTGGAAGGTTGGAATGAAATCCTTGAAGTAGTGCAAGTGCTAATTATCAATTTCTAGGGGAATCTTTCACTTTTTACTGACATGAGGTTTGTATTTTTACTTTTGATGAATGCGTTTTTCTTCAACAATTTTAGTAATTGGTTTGGTTGTGGAGTTTGGTCAAAAGCTTGTACAAATTAGATTTTTTATTTTGGTTTGATTTGTGATTGTTTTGGTTTTTATTTGTTACTAGTTTCTATGGAAATGTTTTATTTGAGTTGTCATTAGATTATCATTTGATTCTAAGTTTACCAGTTTTCTGAATTTCATCAAAAGTGGGCGGCTTCTTGTGAAAGGCTTCATTTCATTTCTGTGTTTAAACCGTTATTGTGAAATAACTAAAAATTAAAATGGCCCCAAATAATCACGTAAAATTATTTTAGATAAATTGAAAAAAAAAAACTATAAAAATCTAGTAAACATCATATGTAGAAATAGCTAAACAAAGCCTAAATTCCATGGTTATGGATGTTGTATTTGACTTTATGTGTGTGGTTTTGTGCATCTCATCCTAGGTTTGCATTAAGAAATCTTAAGACTTTAAAGACTTCTTGCAACACAATAAGGTATGTGCACTATTTGGTAGTCATTAATTTTATGTATTTATATGTTGATGTCCCAAGCTGGAATAATATAAACATATTATCTTGGAATTATAAGCAGCTTTTTGGTTCAAATGTGTGGCTTGCTCAATAGTATGGACTTGTTTGGATCCTAATAGGAATTTTTAGTGAATGATTGGTATTCCCCATTATCATACATTAATGCAAATCATTTTAGTAGCCTTCATTTTTGTTTTGATTTATTGTTTGTTAAAGCAACTGTTTATGAAGAACTTGAAGTACTTAATATTTGTTTTTTCTATGATATACTCAGGTGATTCACTATGAGTTGCCAAACAGTTCTGAGATCTTTGTTCATAGATCCGGTCGAACAGGGCGAGCTGGTAAGAAAGGATCTGCAATTCTTATTTATACTAGAGAACAAGCGCGGGCAATGAGAGTCATTGAGCAAGATATTGGATGCAGATTCACAGAGGTACAATATTTATTCTAGTCTTCATGATGAACCACTGGATTATTTTACATCTACTAGAAAATTTTGTTAATGCCTTATACCTGAAGAGTTCACATATCATTGTTACTAACTTCTTGAACTGCTTGTAAATGGGAATTAGCTTCTGCTTGGCATTTTGGACTATTATTATTAAATTTATTCTAAACTACCTACTTATAATATTTACAATCTTTCTATCATACTAATGGCTTAGGGAGATGGTTGAGCTTATATGTCTGTGACATATTAGCGTGTATACATTCATCTTTTTAACAACTTATTTTTACATTATTATTTCTTCCTGTATAAGAGTATATGATTTAAGTACATGTAGCTCTTGAAAAAAGTAATGATTTTGGATTACTTTTGTAACTATCCCTCTTCTACGATGGAATCTGCAGCTTCCTAGCATTGAAGTGGAGGATGGGGGTGACTTGCTTGGCAAGTTTGATTCCTATGGAGGTGGTCGAATGGGTAATTCTGGGTTTGGCCGCAGTGGACCTAGCCGTTTTGGGCCTAGCCGTGGTGGATTTGGCGGTTCAGGAGGCGGCTTTGGCGGTTCCGGAGGCGGCTTTGGCGGTTCAGGAGGCGGCTATGGCGGTTCAGGAGGCGGTTTTGGTGGTTCATCAGGAAGGATGGGTGGGTTCGGCCAATCTAGTGGTTCAGGTTTTGGCCGCTCAGGGGCTTACGATAATTCAGATTTGGGATCTGGTCGCTCCGGAGGATTTGGTGGATCTGGTTCAGGCTTTGGAAAATCGGGCAGTTTTGGTGATTCAAATTCAGGCCGCTCTGGTGGTTTTGGAAGCTCAAGTTCAGGACAGTCCAGTGGTTCCGGTCGGTCTAGTGGCTTCGGCAGCCAGGATTATGGGTGGTCTGGTGGTTTTGGGAACAGGAGTTCACGTCAGTTTAGCAGCTTAGGTGACTCTGGCCCTACAAGTCCCTGTGATTTTGATAGTTCAGCAGGAGCTCCTGGCAAGGATAATAACAACTTGAATAGGAGCTGGCCATGACCAAATAACTTTCTACCATGTATTCAAGCCTTTAGGTTTGTACTCCTATTTCTCTTATTCATCTTATATGGTGATCTATTGCTTGTCTTATTGACCTTTTTTTTGTGTTCATTCGGAGCGGGCATAAATATATGTAAAAGCTGTTGTAGAATTTCTATGCAGAAATTAAATTTTTTAAAAGCTGTTTTAAGTATTATAAATTTCTTTTTTTTTTGTAAGGTAGACTCTATCATGCCACACATATGTTTATAAAAAAAATTATTTCTCAGCACAGAAATGTCAGAGATATAGAAAAAAAGTTATATTCAAATAAGATTTATGCTTCGTTTGAGAAAACTTTCTTACTATTGTTTGAAGCAGTTTATTTTTTTTGAATTAAAAAGCTGTTTTAAAAAGTAAGAAAGTTGTTCCAAGCAGTTCTTTTTCATTTTCATTGAATCATGCATCGCTAATTTCATTAGGCTTAACTATAGAATTATGAATATTTTCCTCTCTAATCTCTGCTTATAATCCTTAATCTGCAGGTTCTGGATCTTTCATGTAACAAATACAAGTTCCAGCTACTGCAGCAATTTGGAGAGATCATCCTGGTACCCATAAGCACCAAAGCTTATTACTAAGTTTAATCCGCAGTTTGAGGTATATAAGCTCAATTGTTACTCGGAAAAAAAAAAAAATATTTTTATATATAAGAAGGATTTATTTTTTCATCTTTCTAGAAACTAGCTTAAGCTATGTTATTTATTGTTCGCTGCATTGTAATTTATTATATGTTCTGTTAGGTTACTCTTCTACATTTTAGCATGTCATAATGATCCATATTATTAAGGTTATGAAAGCAGGTTGGCTGTGTTTTGTACAAACCATGAAATTATTATTATTGTTATTTTTTGCAATTTTCATATTGCATATTGATAGTTTTGTAATTTTTTCCACGAGTAATGTTTTTCACATTTACAATACTGTTTTTTTTTTTCATTTTCTTTTATTATATTTTGTGCACTTAGCTTATATTGATATGTGGCGGTTTTTTTTTATTCACATTGGAAGAAGATTGTATATGCTCACGATATGATCATTAGCATTGTTCCTTTATACTTTGTTTTCTAATTTCTCATAAATTGTCATGCACCGCTAAAAAAACTCATTATTCATGAATATCTAGTGTTTGGCTTGCTAAGTTGCTCAAATTGGAATCATTCCGAATAAAATTATATTATTTTTTGCCCAATTTGTAAACGAGCAAAACACAAATAATTTGTTGTTAAAATAATTTAATTAATACTACAACAACAATAACAACAACAACAACATCAAGCCTTTGTCCCACTATGTGTGGTTGGCTACATGAATCCTTTTTCTCCATTATGTTTCGATTAAAGTCAAATTCTGATTACCTATGCCTTCCACTTCATTGGATAAGTATGTAAACGCATTAACTGTTCTTATCCCGGCTTCTGACATAGATTTTAGAACATATGCATTCTCATCACTAATGTTCCTAGATGACCTGAGCAAATGTTAATTATCCGGTCTAGTCAATTTGTGATTGCGACTCTCTATGTATTTATTCACCATCCAAATCCCTTCTTCACTAATCGAAAATTTAACCATAGCTGGACATCCGATTCTTGTGCATGATTTTCGAAATTTAACATTTGTATTCTTGTCAATCTTCTTCTTGAATCCTGCTTTGGAACTGACAAAAATCTTTGATTTGATTTTTCTTGAATTTGGCCAGAACGAGTGATGTTCTTTCCGAACATTAAATCCATGAGAATACGCGTAATGACAATATTTATCATATGCTTACTTCTCAGAGTGTAAATACCCTGTGAAAAAAAAATTACATTCTTATAAAATAATCCTGTCAGTTTACCATTACATCTACAAATCAATGCCAAGTTTATACCGAGCAGGTACAATGATCGATACTAGGAAGTATGATCTTGGATTTGCTCGGTACAGGGTACAATGTGTTTATACCGAGCGATACCAATAAGTTGATACGTCTGATATTCTTTCTACTAAGATTGGTACTACATACAAAGATGTTTGATTTGCTCGGTACTTATATGCAATGAGTTCATACCGAGCAATACTTATAAGTACTGATTTGTATCGAGTTGTGTGGAAACGTTAATCTCGGTACACAAATCGTTACTCATAAATAAGCTCGGTATAGGATAGTACATAATCGAGGTATTGCTCGGTTAGGATGTTATTAGACGTCATATACGTCGATACCAAGATATATCCGTAATGAAGCAGCAAAAAATAAGTGTATCTTAAATTCTAAAACCTCTTCATAGATAAGAAATTACTTGTAATAAATCAGAAAAATCTTCATCAACATTATACGTCCCTACAGTTTCCTCGAAATCTTCGAAGTCTGCCAAAGAGAAATTTATTTATGTATCTTCCATCTACTCAAATCCTTCACGAAATCTTTTTCTGCGGTATATAAACCATAAAAACTGTATAACGTCTTTAGAATAATACGCCAAATGGTTATTAAACTTGTAAAGAATGCGTGTGTTTTTAACTTTTCGCGCCCAATTCATATACACTACGTCGGGCCAATCCAAAATAGTTTAAAACACATGCATAATCTCCAAAATAAGATGGGTTTGCGTCGGGTTATCGGGTTGCTACGTGGTGCCAGAACACTGGTGTCTGGATGTAGAGCTATATCAGGACACCAGACCTAATAAAAATTTCTTAGGGTTTCATGTTTGCTAAATTGAACAAATATTTTTTTTACTTCATTTCTATTCGGTTTATTGCTTCAATAAATTTTCAATTTGAGATGAGATCCACTTTTTTTTAAAAAAAAAAAATAGGTTTACAACCATACTTGTCAACGGAGAATAATGCAGCACGGCGCAAAGTTTCCCGTGGAGCAATGACGCATAGCGCACGGCGCGGCACGCCCCATTTTGAATACGGCGCAAAATAAAAAAGAATTATAAAAATCTTTATATGGATCCTATTTTAGAGTATCAATCAAGTTGGGTAAGACTTGGATGCTTGGTTAAATATGTTTGTAGTTCAAAGTTCAAATCATTAAAGTGAACTTCAAGTTCGTCTAAAATTTTTACTAAAATAAAGTTTAATAAAACCTAACTAAATAATGCAGCACGGCGCAAAGTTTATCTCAATCAGAACACACGTTCTCCTTGTCTTCTTCATTCAATCACATCCAACATAATTATTTGTGATTACTTTCAAAATGCGTTGACCAACGTTCTTATCAAAAGTACAGCTTTATATGCTTCCTATTACCGTTAAAAACTCTCCTCATTTTTTATTTTAAGGCTTAATTTGAAAAAAAAAATTATTTAAAAAAACAGTAAAAAAAATTGTCCCAAAACATAAGAGTAGCGGTAGCTGCTTCTCCTGGTTCAAGCTTTAAACATTCTACCTTAGAAAATAACTACTTTGCTTTGATACTGCTTATGATACTTTGCAACTGGCCACTACTATAATATCTTCTTCAGCTGAACTGCGATGGCTTGAATAGGAATTCGAAGATTACAATAATATCAAGTCTTTGTCCTACTACGTGGAGTCAAATTTTCATCTAAATCTAATAAAGAAAGATCATGTCTAATATTTTATAACCAAATCTTTTTAGATCGACCTCCACCTTTTTTAACATAAGTCAAATCTAATACCTAGGGGTGTCAGTTCGGGTCAGCGGGTCGGGTTCGGGTCGAACCCGAAACTGACCCGGCACTGTTCGGGTCAACCCGAACCCGATCCGTTTTTAAAAACGGGTCAGGTTTCCTGACCCGAACCCGACCCGACACGAATGACCCGAATTTGATCTAAAATTGCTAATTTTCGGGTCAAAATGGGTCGATCTCGGGTTTTCGGGTCAAATATGATTTTTCGGGTCAATTTTGGGTTGTTGGGTCAACCCGAACTCGACCCGATTTTTAAAACGGGTTGATTTGTTCAACCTGAACCCGACCCGATTCGGGTTCGGGTTGACCCGAACCCGGATTTTTCCGGGTCGGGTTCGGGTCGTGTTTCGGGTCGTGTCAAAAATTGACATCTCTACTAATACCTCTACTTTCCTAACCGGATCATTGAAAGGCCGCAGTTTTATGTGACCAAATCATCTAAGATGACTCTCTCTAATCTTATCTTCCATGGGAGCTACTCGAAAATTAGTGGGAACAAAATTATGCAGCAGCTCTTCTCACAAAGGTCATTAAAGACATAATATTTCATCAAAATTACAGGAAAAATACAATTTTATCTAGAAAAAAACAGTGATTCTGAGCAGTAACAAACCGAGTTAAGATTTCAAATAGTAAGCAAAGGGCTTATATGAGGAGGTTTAAGATTTCGTTTGGGACGGTTTTTTTATTGTTTTTTAAAGTTGTTTTTTAGTTAAAAAATTAAAATTTTTATACAAAAAAGTCGCTTTAAGAAGTAGTAAGAAAGCCGTCCCAAAGTAAATGACTTGCAATCATAAAATGTTATGTAGAGAGCTCTTTCTGTAAGATTTTCCCGTAATTAACACCTCCTAAAACCTTCCCACCAAAGCCAACAAAGAACAGACAGACCAATTTTTCTCTGATGCAGACAGCAGAAAAAAGCAAGAAAGAAACTTGTGCTTTAAGGTGTCCTAGACATGCTCTTCCAGCTTTGGCGCATTCATTGTCTTCTTCCTGCATTTCAGATAAGTTATTCTCTAAACAACTCACAATGATGAGATTGATTATTCTGTGCGGAGTCCAGAGAGCGTCCGGAGAGCAATAAAAATATGTCACGTCGCCTCAAAAATTTACCGCGCTTAATACCAAGCTCAATAACCGCGTTCGATACCGCTCAGGCGCTCAATACAAATCGCTTAACCGGACGAGAAAACTGTCCACAGAATAATAGCTCCAATGATGACCTAAAAGTGATCATAATCAATAATAATAATAATAATAATAAAGTCTGATCACAGAATGATGTACTTTGGACAGAATAGCATGTGCCTCTTTGTCAATGTAACTGTAGGAATCTCAAGGAAACTTTGGCCTTTTGTGTCTGGGTTTCTGACTTTAGTTCTGAGCACAGCTAGCTTATAAGATGAGTGGGAGCCATGGCTCAGATGATCAGTGACTGCATCTGAATCAGGGGAGCTTGGCTTTCAATTATTTAGTGGTTTCATCTATTTTGTTGGGGCATTCAATTAAGAATATGAACTGGACAGGTAAATAACTGTTAATGGTGTATGTAGTGTATTGAATGTAAACTCTGTTCATCTGATCTACTCAAAAGCTTTAGTGGAGGGGGGAAAAGATCCATTGTACGGGTGAGGTGGTTAAATAGTTCTGGTTGCTGGCTGTTGCTGGCCTTGTCTCTGTATGTTTCTAGTGGAGTGTTAGAGAAAAAAAAATTTGTAGAGTTTATATGATTTATTGATGATTTTGGTGTTGATTTCATTTAGTTGAGACAGTCTAATTCAATGAGATGAATCCATAGAGATCAAAACGGTAAGAGTACAAATGTGTTTGGGCATTGAACTGCCAAAATCGGAACAAATCGGCCTGATCAGCCCTCTTCCTGGTTGCATGACCAATGGTTAAATTATAGGGGTCAATTTTGGGTCACGGGTCGGGTTCGGTTTGAATCGAAATTGACTCGGCATTATTCGGTTCAATCCTAACTTGACCCATTTTTGCAAACGGGTTGGTTTTTTAGACACGAATTTGACCCGCTTCGGGTTCGAGTCAACCTGACCTTACTTGTTTTAGCCAAATCCCGCGCCTCTATTAAGCCAAATCATGTCTTTTAAGTCAAAATTTTCACCAAATCCCGCGCCTGGTAGCGACTACGCGTGCGGGTAGCGACTATGCCTGGGTAGCACGTACGTGGCAGACTACGTCTATAGATTTATTT